TCATCGGATTGTAAAGGTATTTTTAACACGATCTCATGCCTTCTCTCCTCCCCCCCAAAATATGCAAAAAAAAAATGATGCTCATATCCCTAATATGTGTGCTGTGCTCTAAGTTACTGTGGATCTATGTTGTTTTTAGTGTCCACTTAGCTCGGATCTATAGTGTTTTTAGTGTTCACGGTGGTTTGGATTTTTTTTTTGTATTCTAGTTTTAGTTGTAGTTACTGAACCCATCCTGATTCAGTATTTCAGGTTATTGAGTTTTAGTGTATTATGTTTGGCACTCGTCTGCTGCTTTTGCTTGTTATTTTCGTGTGCCAGAGATGTTGGTTTAGTTGTGTGTGCTCAACATCTGCGCTTTTATCCGATCCATTGCATTTCGTGAGCGAGACTTTGCTGTGACTGTATGTGTGTGAGAGGATGAATAAATAAACAAGGAGAGGAAATCATCGGTCATTAGCTTTATTAGCAGCATGAGCTTGCGGATCATCAACTAGTGGTTCTGGGTTGGCGTACACCTCTGCTTGCTTGAGATCCTCTCCTCATGCAGTCTCTCGTTGCTGGTGCTGTGTTCCTATGTGGTGTGCTTTTTGTGTGTCTCTGTGTGTGTGTGTGTGTGAGAGAGAGAGAGAGAGAGATTAGCTACCTATGCATTATATTAACAAATAATTCATTGCCACTATACTGCTGCTAAATGTTGAGAACCATGATGAGTATTTGCTTTATCTTTCATTTCATTGGATCAAATTTGTGGATATGGCTTATATAGTAGTATTTAGCAATTGATACTACTATTTCGTATGTTACTTATTTTTTGTAGGCGCCAGTGCATCATATATATTTTGTTTAGCAGCAGTTTTACTTTGTTCTTTTCATTTTGTCCCTAGTCCAAAGTGGCATGTTGCCTCTCTCTGTCTAGTTCATTGCCAGAAATTAGCCATGTTTTGCTCCCACAAGCAGAATTTTTGTTTAAGTTTTGTTCATAAGTACATTAGGATGACAGTGGTTCAGTGAGTTAGAGAAAATTCGTAGTAGTAGCTGACTGAGGTGAGTGTGTTTTTTCATTCCCTGTGCAATGTAACTTTCTTGATACAGCAATCTACATTTATAATTCATTTCATGCTTGCCTTTTGTGCTTGTTTTTTATGGTTGTTAGTTCCTTCTATTAGTTTCCTTTTTTAGCTTCAGCTTCATGGATGCTCGGCCCATTAGCGTATGGGTAGCTGTAGCTTAGTTGCAAATCCATGTCTCACTGGTTATTACCTGAGACTTTCAGTTGAGTTATTAGTTTACTCTAGTTTTTTTTTTAGTTTTTTTTCAGTCTTAGTTTAGGTTTCAGGGTACCTAGTGACTACATCCATTGTCAAAGGATTAGAAAGTTCAGTTCAATTCCAGTAGAATTTATTTTCGGTTTTACTTTAGTTTCAGTTCAATCTCAGGTTAAGTTATTTATAGCTCATTTTTAGTTTAAGTTCAGTTGAAGTCCAACAAGTTAAGTTTAATTTCAGTGTAGCCTATTTTCAGTTTAAGTCTTGAATATTAATTTCTTGTTTGCATGTTTTTTGGTTCAAATATTTCAGTGTAGCCTATTTATATTAAATATTTATTATTGAGATATTAACTATTGGATGGTGATTATTTGTTTGGTTTGAGAAAGATTTGTTCCTGCCACTTGTTGTTAGTGGCAAAGAGTTGGCTTGGCTATTAGCGCCTTGTTGTGATATATGATTGACCTCATGCATGTGGGCTTCAGCACTCCATTTTTTTTTGTTTCAGGTGATGTTTGGTCTGTTACGTGTCTTTTTTCCTTGCTCTGTGTTTCAGTATATGTATCATGGCGATAATTTCATGTGCTTCCATGTGTGCTTTAGTCACTGTCTACAACTCTCCTATGTTGTTTGAGATAAAAAAAACGAAAGTTGTACTAGATTTATTAACGTTGATATTGGCCTATCTGGTTCACAGGTAGCTGGAGCTGCTGTTGATGCTAGGTTGCCCCTTGAAAAGGTAGCTAAACAAGCAAGGCATGCATCTAAGTTGGTTGGTACAATGGAAGTTGCTCTGTCATGGTGTACACTTCCTGGTAAGGGAACCTCAGATCATCTAGGTCGAAGATCAAATGGAGCTTACTTGTGATGATATGTATTGGGAAAAATTGTAAGTTTACTTGTCATGATCCTCAAGCTACAGACCGTTGAGATGTAATGTACTACTACTACATATTGTCCTTTGGTAAGATTGTATACATCAATTTTCAGCTGCATCTATTCTTCTAAATATTGGGTGTCTGTCATCTTTGCTAAAGTCCTGCAATGTCCATTCTAGAGGTTGTTGCAACTATGAGATGGCTGCTTTGAGGCCTGCATTTTAAGCAATTGTGAGTACATTTCATGTCTCGATAAAATCTAGTTTACCATGACTTGTACCTTCATTGGCGATTTTCGAATCTTGTTGATTTTGTTATCTGAAACTACCAATAGAGTATTTTCTCATATCTGAATACTCAATTTTGAGTTTAGAAAACCACACGACTTGCAAAATATGCTCCAAATACTTTAAAGTTGTGTTGGTGCACTCTTGCACAAATAAGATGCATCCACAGTATATTATTGATTTTTTTGTTAATTATTCTTGTCCATAGTAGTCGTAGTGCTTTGTTCCTATTAATCTTTCCTATTCACGAAAACAAAACAAATAAAACATTGTCAATTAATTGCAATCAACAATAATATAAATTGCAACTATCGAGCACCGCAATTGTAGTTTTGAGCATTTGCAATATGTGAAAATTTTAGTTACCTCATGACTGTAATTGACATTTATGTTGTTTCAAGCAAATTTGTGATAACTTTCAATGTTCATTTTCAAATCCTTTGAAATACCAACTGCAAATCAAAGAGAAATACCAACTTAGTAGTTCATATATAATTCAATGCCAAAAGGTTTTCCATAGAGTGTAAGTATGGGCCTAAGACACATGCGGATGCATAGTCGATGGACCTAACTTTCCCGACATACCTATTAAGAATCTATGTTAACCATTTTGTCTGAAACATCTCAATGAGCTCATAGTCTGTCCTTCTGCGACTTGCGACTTGAGGGTAATTATTACATTGGGATGCAACCCCAGTGTGATGAAGGATCAGCTAGATATTTTGTTAACCATTTTTCTATATTCTATAAATTAAAGTTGTGTCATCGTATTGTTATGGTTTATAGTCGAACCTAATCTATCTATCTAAAGAAGAAAATGTTCCACTTCATCGGCTCATGACACTGACCGAAAAAGAGTAGTTTTTGTTATTTAGAAATTATTAACAGAGAATTTTCTGTTCATGAAAACAAAACATATAAAACATATCGTTAATTAATTGCAATCAACGATGATGCAAATTGCAGGTATTGAGCACCACAATTTTAGTTCTGAGGATACGCAATATGTCCCAACACGTACCACATTTTTGTCCTTGTCTTCCTGTAGAAAAAAATTGTAATATGTTAATTATGATTTGTGCCAACATATTTTAGTTATTTGTCTTTGTCCTTCTATAGATAAAAATTATAGTATGTTAACTGTGATTTGTGCCAACACAGACCACATTTTTGTCCTTGTCTTTCTATAGAAAAAATTGTAATATGTTCACCATGATTTGTGCCAGCACATACTATATTTTTTTCCTTATCCTTTCATAGAAAAAAATTATTTTTTGTGATTTGTGCCAACAAATTTGTGTTTGTGTTTCTATAGAAAAGTTGTAGTCTGTCCATTGTGATCTATGCAAGCCCACACCAAATTTTTGTCCTTGTTCTTTCATAAAAAAAATTGTTTCTTGTGATTTGTGCTAACACAGACCACATTTTTGTCCTTGTCTTTCTATAGAAAAAAATTATTACTTGTGATTTGTGCCGATCCATTTCAGATATTTGTGCTAGCACACACTACATTTTTGTTATTCTTTTTTATTGTAATTTGTGATATCCAATAGCTTGATCTCGCTTTTATATATAAGATTTATACTATTTTTTAGCTTATCACCGTCCATACTAATTTTTCAATAGTACTTAGGGAATCTTTATCCGCAATTGTGTAGAGGTTGTGTGCCAGTTATATTTAAATATGAGATGAACTATAGAAGTACGTCTGCTGCTACTAGTCCCCACTTGTTCCTAGGCACTGTATCCTCACACCACACCACAGTCTGCATCACTAGTTGGGCTTTTGTACTAGGGAGGAAGCTGCTGAACAGAAGCCATCAGAACTGAGCAAACAGGATAGAGAAGGAAGATAAGATAGAGAGAAAGAGAGCAAGGAGTATTGTTTCTTTTTTTTTTTTCTTGGCCTTTGTGTTGTTGTGTGTCAGTGGTGAAGGCCCCGAACCCCTGTGGTGTGGCCCTTTTCTTTCTTGTGAGGAAATGGTTGGCGGTAACTGAGATTGTGTCAGCGGGGGTAGGATTGAGGAATTTATGGTTGATTAGATAATTGGGGCCCCTGGGACTGCATGTGTATGTGTGACAGAGAGTGACAAGGGAGAGGAGAGGTCGTGCCTGCTTTGAATTTGATGCCGAACTGAAGCTTATAATTGGGGCCCTGGAGATCATGCGTGTGTATGTCTGTTTTGTAGCTTTAGTCCATGAGAAATGTGATACCCATACCATAAGTGAAGAAAACCTGAAAAATGAGTTTTAAGTTTGAATGAATTATTTGAAACCTGAAAAGCTTCAGGGATCAACAACATAGGACATGCTTTCTCTTTATCTCGCTTGATTGGCGGAATTGACTTATATATGAACCTAAATGTTGCCAAAGAACTTAAGTGCGGATTCATAGCATCTGAGTTTTACTTTCTAATTGGAATTTTATAAATTTCCTATGATGCAAATCAATATTTAATTGTTTTTTTCTCAGGAAAAAGATGCAGCTCTAGGAAATGGTGGCTTGGATAGGCTTGCATCTTGCTTTTTGGATTCAATGGCAATATTGAATTTGCCTGCTTGGGGCTATGGCCTACGTTACCGATATGGACTGTTCAAACAACACATTGCCAAGGAGGGCCAGGAAGAAATTGCAGAAGATTGGCTTGATGTATGAACCAAAAAAATGCACATATAATTCTGTTGATATTTTTTCTAGACCTCTATAACAAATTCTCCTTTTTCCTTCAGAATTCAGCCCCAGGAGATTCCTGGGCATGATGTGGTGTTCCTGTCGATTTTTCGGCCATGTTGAGATTTTGCACGATGGCTCGTGAGTATAATATAAACAACACATTTTTTGTTTGACGAAAATTTATTTTTGCTGCATTTAGTTAAATTTGAAGTTTTTAAGGCTTCTCATACTTTCTAGTCTAGATAAAAAGAGAATCACATTCCTTCGTTAGCTTGGTTGAACCATTCTAAACTCCTAGTTCTAAGAAATATTCATTTATCTCTTTTTTACCGTCCGACTTCCGGAACAAAAAAAAACGCAACTATGAGGTGTAATGCGGATGCCTTATTTTTTGTGTAATCCAAAAGCTTCGCTAATATGAATTTTAAATGTCTGAACCACAAACTAAGTTTGGGTTTGGCGGATTTGCTTATACTTCAATGATAAATCCATTACATTTAACTTACCTAGATCTTCGTAGATCCTTCTCCCTGACTTTTTTTTTCTTTTGTTATTTATTTCATGTTATGGGTGGTTATTTGAGGGCCTTGATGTAACTCATCATATGATTGCTTTCTTTGTCGTGTGATAGTCGGAAATGGGTCGGAGGAGAAGTCCTGAAGGCTTTAGCATATGATGTGCTAATCCCTAGATACAAGACAAAAAATGCAATCAGCCTTCGTCTTTGGGAAGCAAAAGCTACTGCTGAAGATTTCAACTTATTTCAATTCAATGATGGTCAATATGAGTCAGCTGCCCAACTTCATGCTAGAGCCCAACAGGTGATATTTCATTCTAGAGTGAAACTATCGGCTATTCATAAGATTCATTTCCAAAGACTAAATAAAGAGCGATGCCTTTACTTACTGAAATATTTTTATTGACTGATGATATTGCATGCTGAAACCTATAACTTATTCCTTCATGGTACTAGTTCTATCTAGAAAAGAGACTTACATCTTTGAGTATCACATTGCAGATATGTGCCGTTCTTTATCCCGGTGATGCTACAGAAGAAGGAAAGCTTCTAAGGCTGAAGCAGCAGTTTTTCCTTTGCAGTGCATCACTTCAGGTAGTTAATCAATTCATTTCACTTGAGCAAGGCTCCAATAAAAGAGCCAGGCATGTATGCCCACCTTGTGCTTTTCTATATGTTTGGCAATGATCTATGAGATATTTGCAAACACAATGTTATAATTTTCTTGTATTGTTTGAACCATCAATATATCAGGATCAATCATGTTACCTCTAGTATATGCACCACCACCTGAACTGTTTTCAAATTGTACTAGGATAATGAGATTTAGATCATTTATCCTGTTTTCTTTTAGTTACAGTGTGCCTTTTATGGTTCTAGTTTGTTAAAGATTTATCAATATCTTAAAAATATCTCTCTGATGATTATTGATGAGCATAACTGAAAATGGGTTATTTCCAGGATATGATTGCCAGATTTAAAGAAATGAAATCTATGTAGTATTTGCACCTAGTGATTTATTGAGGTGGATTATGTATTTATATACATATATAGTATAATTGCAATAACAATATATAGTATTTGCACTATTTGAAATATGCAATTTTTGTATTCTTGTTTTGTAATATTTGAAGATGATATTCATTGTGCATTTTTTCACCGAGAACTACTCTTTGCTGATATTAGGCCTCTATGTCTTCTTAGTTAGTGGGCCTCTCTAGCACGTCTTTATTGGGCTGAACGACAGCTGTGGGCCTTGTTTGCCTGATGGAATTTGTGTGTTGCATTCTCTTAAAACACATGTTTTTTCTGGTGTTTCAATTCGTGTGTTTCTTAGGTATCTAACAACTATGTGCTAACTAGTTCAAAAACACGTGATTTTTCCTACGTTGAAATATGTGTGTTTTACAAACAGCAAACAACCATGTGTTAGTTTATGTTAAAACACACATGTGTACAGTAGACAGACTCAAAATAAGGAGCTCAACTCGTGTTGGTGTGACATGGTATGCTCGAGTGCTTTACAGTTTAAAATGTTCATGGGAAACATTAAATGCATAAACAACCCTTAGAAAAAAAGCATAAAATGATCCTAACGATGTATAACACCGAGATGTTTAAACTTCAGCACGGTCACTTCTTGCCCGGCAGTTTTTCACTACCGCTCCTTCACCAACAACCGATGTTCAGGATTTACGTCTGCTCCGCAGTAGGTTACGCAGTTGAGGACAAGTAACAAGTTGAAGGATGGTGTGTGCCGTTTCATTCCTCAAAAAACACAAATCGCATGCAGTAGGAGGTACTAGTAGGTGAAACCGTGAAAGTGCAGATGCGCTTTCTCCGGCTGGTTTAGATTGAGGTTAGGAATCAGTATTTGACACTGTAGCATTTTTATTTGTATTTAATAATTATTGTCCAATCATGATCTAACTAGGCTCAAAAGATTCGTCTCGTAATTTACAATCAAACTGTATAATTAGTTATTTTTTTATCTACATTTAATAATCCATGCATGTGTCAAAGATTTAATGTGATGGAGAGAGAGTGAAAAAACTTACAATCTAAACAAGGCCCGGATACTATATGGATAATTCCATTCCACTTCCACAGATCAAACGGGTCAAGAGATGTGGAGAATCAAATGCTCACTCCCCTGCATTTGTTTAGTTGCTCCCAACGACTGTGTTGTTCGTCCCCATTAGCTGTCTCCGATTCAGAGATATGGGCTGACCTATGTCGCTCAGATGCCAGAACTCGCAAAAACTAATCCCTCGCGTCTACATCGCCAGAAAGAAACCACGCTAGACAAGGGGCTGCTGTTTGTTAGGTGTGTCTGAAAGCTGAACAAAACCCTCACATTACTCCTACATGGCACCAAGTAGGAGTACGTGCGTGCTGCTTGATGAGCAAGTTACCGCACCACAAGGGAACTAGGAACTGGCACCAGAGATCAGCTCTGACGTGATGCTGCCTGCCCGGCCCGCTCCGGTGTAAAAGCAGGAACGCGTGGATCGGAGGTCGGAGCACAGGTCTCCGCCGTTGAATGGATCCGGGACATGAGCCTGACGCTCGCGAGAAAGGCGTCCCACCCGCCGGTGTGCTTCTGTCATCCCCGATCTCGTAAATCCCTCGGTTCACTCTGTTGACAAGTTCTGGTATTTGATTAACAAGGGGTGATTAAATACTAATGTTACCACTTTGTTTGCAAATTGCAAGTGGCGCTGCACCGGCAACGCATTGACACTCTTCCCGTCGGTCTTCCCTCGGCTCGGAGCAACTTGGCGATCTGTGGCCGGGCGGGCGGTCAACGGGTCATGGGATGGGGGATGCTTGGGATCGATGAGCATTTATCATACTTTTTTTATTAAAAAACATTTATGATACTTTTTTTATGAAAAACATTTATGATACTGTATAAGTATAATTAAATTAATTATATAATAGAATTTCATAATGTCCTTTTGAAGTTATAGCTATTAATAATATTTGACCTGCAGGGGTAAGCCACCCCGGACATTGTTGTAATAGAGAAGACCTTCTCACACAGGCCGAGAAAACCCCGAACCCCTGCCCCACCATGACACAGGGGCACCGTTGTCCCGTGAGAACTGGGCCAGGCCTTTTTGACCCTTGCTTTGGCCGTGGGACAGACGAGGAGATTTTTTTAACCCCAGCCTGAAATTCGCTCCCACGCGAAGTCAAACTCAAGACCTGAGGAGTGCCGCCAAAGCCACCTAACCAGTTCAGCTAGGCCCCCTTTGGCTGCTATAACTTAGTCAAACTTCACGAAATTTAATTCAATTTAAATCTAAAGTTGTATCTTCTTTTTTGGAACGGAGGTAGTATCTTCCTATGCACAAATGAGTCGACCCTCAAGGTTTGCAGGCAGGAACACGGGGTGATACGATGCCGAAACAAGTTCAATTGCCGGATTATCAAGCGTGCCAAAAGTCTGGCTAAAGAAAGTAAGAAACCCTTACTGCGTCAGCTCCTCTACATTTGAGAACTGAAAAAGTGTGATGCATGACTGATGCTGTCAGTATTCATGCATCAAACACTGGCCAAACTTAAACATTCTTGCTTACAGTTGGATCACATTGAGATTTGTAATCTACAGTTAGTGGCCAGTGGCTAGAGATGGCTAGATTAGAGTATGAGGTTCTCCATGTTACTGACTCCAGCCAAGAAAACTTTACGTTTACATATAAAAAAGAACATGAAAAATTGGCTGTATACTCTAATTAAAACGTCATATTTACAAAATTTGAAGTTTCAAAAAAAAAAACAAGATTGGAGTCCGCACAACAGAACTTGCTAATTAGTAAGTAGAAATAATCAATTAGATTAGATATGCAACAACAAACAAAAAAACGAAAACTGCAGATTGCAAGTAAGCAGCCTGTTCGCCTGTTGGTTTCAGCCAGGGCTTATTAACCAGTCAACAGTGTTTTCTCTCATAACAAATCAGTATCAGCCGAGTTTATCAGCTCAGAAAGCCACCAACGAACAGGCTGAAGGAAACCTGAATTCCTCGCAAACAAACCCACCTACTTCTAACTACTCTATACATTATACAATGTACATGTACAAAGCTACATACTATATACCAAAATATACAAACAACTACATGTAAACTTCTTGTCCGACTTGTCCGTATATGTGTACCCGCCTATACCACCTTCGCAAATCGCAGGGCAGGTGGTTAGCCACCGACTCGAGACCACGATTCCGAGCCGAATCCTGAAAGGGAGGGCTCACATTTCCCCTGCTTTCTCTGACTTCCAAACACCTCGTCTTTTTTACATGCGCAATTTCTTTAATAATCCCACACGTATGCTAAACTGCTAATACTGGATTTCTAGTAGTACTAATCTTCACAAAGCAGGTTTGCAGGGGATCTCCAAGTCAAATCAAATGTCTGAAATTTCAAATCCCGATTTCAAACTTGAAGTCTCACTGTTTGGAACGGGTCCTACGCGGCGCGTCGTCGTGGCTCACGGGTTTCAGAACGGGTGGTGGCTCCGGCTGAGCCCGCGCACGTTGGCGAACAGCCCCACGAGGTCCTGCCGGTACGGCAGGAACGTGCGCCGGCCTCCGCCGGTGGAGGCCTTGGCGCCGCCGTAGGACACCCGGCGCCCCGCCGCGATCGTATCGAGCTCGGTGGCGGCGGCGGTAGCGGCGGCGGCGGCTTTACTTCCTTTGGGCGGCTGCTTCGCCTTCGCCTCGGAGGCGGAGGAGGAGTGCTCCCTGTCCCTGGCCGGGGACGGCGGCGCGGAGAGGAAGAGGAACTTCTCCCTGCCGTCGCTGTGGCTGCGCCCGACGACGAGCTCCCCGATGCGGCGCCACCGCGGTATGGAGCCCGTGGACCCGCTCTTCCGCGGCGGCCGCGAGGGCGAGGACGCCGCCGAAGCCGACGACCCGGGCGTCCAGAGGCAGTAGCTGTCCGGGGACGCGCCGTCGAGGCCCGCGCCCGCGCCCGCGCCCGTGTCCGTCGTCGAGGACGACGCCGAGGTGGAAGAGGAGGAGGAGGACATGGAAGCGACGGACGATGTCCGCGCCTGCTCCAGCTGGAACAGCCGCCCGAACGACGCCCTCGGCGCCGGCGCGGCTGGCGCTGGGGCGGCCTCGTCCAGGACTCGGCCGAACACCGGGTAGAACGCCCGGATGCGGCCGCCCGCAAAGAGCTCGTCGGCCGCCGCGGCGCCAGCGCCCACCTCGGCGGACTCCCGGCTCACGAAGGGGAACTCGAACTCGCCGTCCGAGTCCGAGTCCTCATCGCAGGAAGCCACGTCGTCGTCCTCCGTCCTGACGACGGTGGGTTCCTGGCGGCGGCGGACAACCGGTCTGTCGTCCTCCATGTCTCGCATGTTTCTGCTGCTCGGTTTGTTTGTCTGCGATCGGGTGTGTTCGGCGTGGGGAGGGAAGGAAAGGGAAGCAACTGCTAGTCGGTTAGCGAGATGGCAGTGGCGTTTATATAGGGCAAACCGGGTAGCGGGAGGCGGCGACCTTCTGGAAGGGCTCTCTGCCTCGCGGCGCCCGTCTGCTCTGTGTTTTTAGCTTGGGCTGGGAGTTGGGAGGCGCCCACGTCCTCGGGTGCGTCCCCTACACGTCAGCCGTGATGCACGCGGACGGCGGACGCGGGGTTCGTTTCTTGCCTCTTGCTTGGGGGTGGGGTTGCTGCTGGTTGCGTTCCGTGTGCGTGTGCGGCGTTTGCTTGAGAGACAAGCAGCTGTTATTGTTAATCCGGTCGGCTGTAGATTGGCCGCGGAGTCGGCTGGCTCCGATAAATTTGGCTTACGCTGAATCGTTGGAATAGGAAAACACCGTACGTTCACTAAAAAACACTGTTGAAGTAGTGCAGCAGAACAGGACCAAAACTTTTGTATACTTGGTCGCATTTTTTGTTAGCCGGTGAAGGGGAACTGGGGATTGGGCGCCCTGTTCATTTGGCTTATAAATCGTATTTTTTCAGACAACGAACAATATTTTTCTCTCACAATAAATCAGTTAACCTTACTTTTAGACGTGAAATCAATCAAACAAAGGATAGGAAGGCTACGATCTGATACCGGACAGTGTGAACAGAAGTAGTAGTACGTGAGACGTGACGATGGGAAATTTCATTACTACACAATTCGCCCTGCATGGTATTACTACACTTTTTTCCTATGACGATGGCTGCCTGCCTGCCTGCACCGCCATTTCGCATTACTAACGCATGGCAGCACGCGCGGTCCCTTCTATAATCATCAGCCACGTATACCGTAGCGAACCCAAGAGAGCAACCCACATGGAAATTGTGCCATTGGTATATATCCTATTTGTCCACCCATGGAGTCATGGAGAGGTGCATGCCATGCACTTAAACTTTGCAACGATCAATTTAGGCAATGATTTGAGTTTGCGCATGTGCCACCAAACCAATCGAGTGATAGACGCACCCAGCCCGGGAGAAAAGTGCCAATGCTCAGGCGCAACGGCGACTGCTAAACCTGCGGTGTGCGCCATAGCCCCACGAGACCACCACGCCGCGCCAGGATCGTATTCAGACTGAATCCGTTTAAAGGGGTTCAGATTTATTCGTATCCGAGTCTGGATATTCAACATCCGATACCGTATCCGTATCCAAATACTTAAATCGCATATTTATGATGTCGATATCCAATCGTATCCTATCCGATATGGTTGGCACTATCCGTATTCGAATCCTAATCCGAACAGAAATATGAAAACAAGTTTAATATCAGTGATATCCGTTCGTATCCGATCCATTTTCATCCCTAAGTAGTAGTAGTTTATTCACACGTGTATGTGTAGCTACGCGGCGGCGGCCCGACGCGGCTCCACACTTTTAAAGGTTCCCAGGAATAATATTAAGCTGCTGGCAATTTGATGCCACGATCATCTTATGGGTCTCACTTGTGAGTTTTATTTTAGAGATAAATACACCGTAGGTCCATCAACTTTTAGTATGGACTAACAACCAGTTGCTATTTTTTAGCCATGGCTAACAACTACGGAGTAGTCATACTCCATCCAAATAGACCCTTAATTCTGAAGCCAATGCTCAACCGGACAACACACTCCGATCCCTTTTCGGTCTTCTTTTCCTATTATTTATTTATAGTGTTTTTTCTTTTCTGCTCATTTTTCTTCTTTCCTTTCTTTGTCCTATCCAATATTTTTCACACTCATACTACCCAGCGTTCATACATGGTATAAATCTTTTTGCACTACTCATTTTCACGGTATAAGGTAAATACAAAACATATTTGAAAAAGGCATCCATAAACCTTTCGTAGTCTAAGTTGTGCTTTGACAATTTTTTCTAGAAAACTTATGTGGTCGAGTATATTTTAAAAAAAACATAGTTGAAAGAGTTGTTTTGAAAACTTACTTCAAACAAGTTATTTAAAGAAGATGCTAGCAATGAAAATTGTGTATAGTTGTTCGTATTTCAAAAATAAAAGTTGACTCAAATAACATAACAACAAAACTATGTATACAAGTGTGGCAGAACCGTCTAAAATAACTCACTTCCGGAGGTGCTTGTATTTCATTAGACACTAAACATCTCAAGAGTGAGCTAATTTAAACAGTTCTGTCGAGCACACCCCATAGAAGAACCCAAAAATCAATATTTTTCAACAGGATCATAAATGAGAGACAAAGCTTACAACATTCTTAAATCATTTCTTACCTCACTTTGTTACAGTAGTCGAATATTACCTCAATTGATTATGACAGCGGAATATAACAATGTTATCAGAGTTACAGAGAAAGCAATGATTAATTTAATGACATGGTGGAGCATTAACATAGTGTACATTTTTATACCAAAGATGCTAGCAGATTTTACATCTTTTCTTATAAAAACCTTTCGTGAGGGTTATAAATAAACACTACGGTCGTAGCGCGAAAGGAATCCTCTCTAAGCCCACCAGGAGGTTTCCACACATAAAAGTCGTCTACCATTCCTCGATCACCTGCAACAGGAGAAATAAAACCCTAAGTACTCAATTGTATTCAGCAAGACTTACCCAACAGGAGAAAAACAAAAGACTCCAATGATATGCAAGTCTTATTTGGCTTGTGGATTTATTGCATCTGCAGGAGCATTACTAAATGTGCATCCTTATATTCAGTTTTATTAGCAGTCATCATTGGTTTATTAGCTAATCATTCTATGTAAGCACCTATGCTACTTTCAAGCAGGTGATAAGCAATCAGAACCATTTTACCATCTTTCATATTCCAGTTCTTACTACGGTGCTAGATCGTAGCCAAGTCGTATCGGATTACCCGGCGATTCACGAATCAATGTAGCCCAGCTGGGTACCGTAAAACACACGCCCTGCTTATACCCCAGGCACAAGCAAGACCAACCCACCACTCTCCTATCAAGAGGTTCAGGTCCCCGTCCAAGCTTAGACTCCAAGCCCTCACACCTGAGTTCCGGACTCAGTGTGGTGCTTAGACCTCCACCATCCCCGCCTCCAATCAGTCGGTCCAGAAAAAGCTGAAACCCATGACAAGAGAACAACGAGTCTTCCCTGCTCCCATAAATAAGTATGTTCTCAGGATAATAAGTCTATGACCTGACTAGAATCCAATGCAACGGCCAGTCCTTAACCGACACAGGCGGAACAAGTACAACCCGAGTCTCGTTTGAATGCCTAACCAAGTACAGATCCAAAGTACCATTCCGCCCGGTCTCCAATTAGCATTCATATATATATTCCAGGCGATAATAATATAATAACAATAATAATATATTTTCTATCTCTCGCGAATGACAGGCAATCACTCGACTTCTATCGGAGTCCTATAGCATAGCAATCTACACGATCCTATCATACTAGTAAAATTTATAGGATAAGGATATATATATATGCACGTGGGTTTCATTCAACTCCTTAAAACTTAATGTACAAGAATAAAATAAAGTGCAGAATAATAGGGGTTATGCACCGGGACTTGCTTGGGAAAAATATAACCAAGTTAGATTTTCATCATGATGGCATGATCATCAAGTCACCATCTGCTTCCGCTACTCCGAACGACTCCACGATCCAACATCGCTCCTATCATGAAATACATGGATGCAACACAGGGACGTAAATAATCAACGGCAATCGCAACTCTTAAAATACGATTAGTCCTCTCAAGCTAACGAGCTAGCTCTGACGATTAACGTACTAGGCCACGTATCCAAGTTGTCGAACTAGACACTAATTTTCCACAATGTTTTAGTTATAAAATCCCTAGGTGTTTCTTTATTTCCTTTTATTTAATATATATATATATATACATATAAACCAGGGCTCATTAGTTACCTCAGCAAACTAATTATTCTAAAGCTACAAAAATTACAGATGGCACATAAGAATACTATGGAGCTACTGTAAAATTTTTAAAGCTAACACTACCATCATTCTGTCGGTGCGAGACCCACGGGATACCCCGCAAGGAAGAAAGAAGATCTAGTCTAACTAGAATTCTTCTAATGTAATCCTAGTAGTAGTATTATTCTGTAATCCTACTAGAAACTCTCATTGTAAACCGACTAGGACTTTGGCCTCCTGACTATATAAAGGAGGGCAGGGTTCCTAGAGAGAGACTTTAACAACACAACACTTCACAATCAATCCAACGCAGAGGCTAACGCCGACTGGACGTAGGGCTATTACTCGATCAACGATCAAGGGTCCGAACCAGGATAAATCGACTGTCTCTTACGTTCACCGTCGAGTTCCGCATACACTGAAGCCCGAACATACTGCCCCGGGTACCCCCTCCCCATATTTGCATCTTAATAATATTAAGCATCTTAGTTTAATTTAAGAACTCCTGCAAATATTATAGAACTTTGTGGATAAGATGTACTGGCGGATGGAGCATGATTTTATGAACCTAACAAGATTAGTTTCACAGCTTTTGTTCAGCTACACAAATTTTTCTTGAATTTACAAATTTACCCTAGAAATTAATTTGGAAACACTTTAGAAAAAGGAAAAGCCAGTGGCCAACGATTTCGGCCCAGCAACCTAAACGAGCCGCGACTGGGAGCCCGCGCGTGTAGCAGGTCGGCCCAACAAGCGGCCCACGACGGGGAGCGTGCACGCGCCCCCGCACCTTTTGCAGAAAAACCCTTAGTGTAACCGATTATCACGTGGCGTTACTGAGCACTATTACACCAGAGACAAGCTTTGCACTAAGGACCCCGGCTATTTCCGCCCCCACAATGGGGAGGTCCTAGGCACCCCGAGCTCGCTACCATGGGGGTAAGGAGCCGACCTTTGCCTACCGATAAGCGCACACTCCTAGGTAGTAGTGGGGAGCTTAACAGCGCACTACC